CAATTTCCCAGACAAAGCAGATGTTTTAGCAAATGAGCGCGACACCTTTCGCCATGTCAATCCATGTGCTCTCGAACCCCCTTAAACACAAGAAAGAATTTCCATCACCTTATACGCTAATGATTGCACGATATTGATTTCGACTAAACTCTACCCGGCAACCATTTATTACTAACTGAATAAAAGAATACAGACTAGACCTCACAATTTGTGTACTGAACGCCATTTAGAGTGAAGCTATTATGTTGTTGTAGCGGCAGAAAACATTCCTCAAATAAATTTGAAGAATGTTGCCGAGTTGACAGTCCTTGACCGGATAAAAATCCGGGTCCGTTCCGGTTACTTGGACCCGATCGTCGTGGGAACGGTGGAGCTATTATCATTTCCAGCGATTTTAACGTACATCACGATCTTCGGCACTCCAGCTTGTTAGACAATCTAGGGGATGGGAGTCTAATATTATCCCGTCTATATGAGTTGAAATATCTCCCTCACAATCCGATATACATATATACAGCATAAGGATCTGAAAGAAGTTGTGGACCAATTAGCGCCTCTAAAGCAACTATAGGCTTAATTTATATATTTATTATCTATTAGACTGCTGCACATGCGCACTTGATATCGATTTCATTGATACAATGAGTGTATCATGCACTCTATGCTGTAAGTATGGAAAATAGAAAAAAAACGTTGGAAAATCGTTTCCATTTAAATTTTTATAAGCGAAGTGCGCTTAAAAAACTTAATGATAATAGTAATTTGTAATAGTAGAACAATTAAAATACCCTTACATATTTATAATTTCAAAGTGAATAATGTAACTTAGGTATATTATGTAGTATTTTGTTGAATGTTATATGTATAATAACACAAACATCCAACGTATTTTTAATATTTCAAGTTTAGAGAACTAGTACATAACAAATGAACCTACTAACACATCCCTGATTTTAAGTTTATAAATACTGTGTACAATGGATCTTACTATTGTAAATTTTTATAAAATAGCATATCCTAAACTTAAATATGAAAAGAACGCAAATAATAAATAATAACGGTACGCACAAATATATTATGGGAATATGGAAAATGTTTTATTGCATTCATTGCCATTGACATGATTTTCATTGCTTTTTTTGTCTCCTCCTGCAATATTCTTTTGAAACAACAATGCTTGGAAAGAAAATTGTCATATACGAGTATGTTATTGCATTTGCTGTTCTCAGAGCTCACATAAATTGAATTGCTCGCTGAGAACAAAACAAGCTGAAAGTCGACTAATAGTCAATTCATGTCGTGTTACCTTTTAGCTGAACTAATTTAGGCTTTTATGAGCGTAATACCATGATACAAAATATATATGAACATGGATAGTTATATATTTTATTATTATCATCAATACATACAGAAAGAGTATACAAATAAAAATTAAGTACTTCAAACACGTGTCGAAAAAAAATTTATTAAATTAAAGTATGTTGTGTAGCATGTGATGCACTCGGATTAACTCTGTTCATTCAAGCACCTTGTGATAAACGACATTCTTTGTTTTTTTGTAAGGCGCAAGAACAAATAAGGCGGATGGTGAACATGCCACGTACAATAGACCATAAGAAAAACATGCATTTTCTAGATTGAGGCCAGAAATAGTCAATGGTTGGTCCTGTAATTTGTTAATCGTCATGGCGAAGGCAAGACGAATCGGGAATTGAATTCGTTTAAATTCAAAGGGCATATCCGTTGGGACTATCGGAATCTTTGGAATAAGAACTTCCTCATCTTTAAATTTTCCGTTGAGTATCAACGCGTGAATCACATTGTTCATCAGATTTCTTATTACAAAACTGTGTCGTTGCACAGTTTTCGTTGGTTTAAATTTCTAAGCCAAACTTCAGTTGCAAGTTGTGCGGTGGCTTCATCTTCGTTCGTTACACAGTCGATAGATTTAAAAGAACACAGAGTACCTACGATTTGATTCTGAATTATAATATTTAGGTCAGCTACATCTTTATTTTTGGCCGCCAAAATTGTCCGCTCACTTAACCATTTAGTATTTTTGTGGTTAGCAATGATATCCGGGAATACTTTGTTGATAAGCCCGTCTTTCGATGAGACGAACTTGCAAAAATTTGGAGGAAGCGAAATCAATCCGCTCGATTCGTCAACAGGAACACGGCCATTACCGATAGTCAGCAATTGCATGGAGAAATCATCAGCTGATAGATCGTTCAACAATGCAACTCTCATATTTACTGACAGTTTCTTTGCATATCGCCACAGATTTGATGCTTTGAGGCAGGCGTTGATTTCGTCGGCAGCAGTAGATCTTGGAATGACTGGTAGTGTTTGTCGGTAGATCTTTTAATGTTCGGCCAAGACCTTCCAATGCGCGTTTGTGCGCCATTGTGCGTCGTCCCATATTATGATTTTTGATGCCACAAAACGTTGGCCATTGCGGAGCGTTTCGAAATGTTACATGTCGGTTGTTCAGTAGTTTAAAGGTTTAATGGCAATTTTAACGATGAGTGAGCCGTATGGCATCCGTCTAACAATGTGGCAGCAATTCCAGAAGAAGCAACTGCTACCGCAGTTTGTGGATTAGGATTCAACAGTGGTACATTCGTTCGAACTGATTGTACTAATTCATGTGGATCATATTCACGTTCACGTTCCAATTCTCTATTAAATGCGTCATTCATGCCGCGATCGGGCGCTGGCATTCCTAACCTGGCTAACAAACCGCCGCAAATGAGGTAACACATATCTTCGATCAAGAGCAAGGTTATGCATCTCCTCATTCGCCTAAATGTCGGGATTTCTTGTGCTGAAACGAATTCGATGTAAAATGTCTTCTGACATGTTATCTTTGTATTTGTTCCACAGGTCACGTGGGTTCGATGAGAAGCATGTCGAAATGATGATAGCAAATAATATGCGTATCTAATTTGCAGATACAGAAACAATTGCTTCAGCGATTGTTGTGTCCCAATGAGCATCGTTTTCAAGCAAATTGAGCTCTTGACATTCTGCATGAAATGTGGGACACACTATACCATTAAAAGTTCGTAGTGATTCAAATGATGTTGGCCCTCGAGCATGGACTAGCAACAACCGCAAATAGACACATTCATCGTTCTTCGGATGAACTGGGTAAATACGACCAAGAGCATCATCATACGAGCTGCATGACCAGGAACTGAATGGCCTTGCTTCCGACGTTGAAATTTCTTCGATGTAGCGTTCCAAGTGTAAAAACGTGGCATCTCTGAGTACAGCAACGTTCGTGCGAACGGATCGCTTTGATAAATCGCAAAGAAACTGGTCAGTGTTGTCGCTGGAGGTGTTGCGGCACGTTGAGCAGCATTCGACGTTGTGAAATAAAATCTCTGACCGTTTTCTAGATGCACCCGTCAAATGTGTAACAGTGGGATGACGTTCGTGAATAGAGAATGAGAATATACGCCAAATTGCTTCATTGCAGTTCACATATCTAACGACTTGACCGAATTGCAATACTCAACATTACAATGTGCCTTGAATTTTTTTGGAAGAAGTGGCGAATATGGAACACCCTAACTGTTGTAGACCATCAAATCGTTTCCTTTCACTTTAGTTGTGATAGTTCTACCATTATCATCGGGCGATCGATGCCTATACAGTGGATAACCATCGTTGCCTGTGATGGTCCCTGCCGTAATTTTTCGTGGATACCGTTTGGAGCACTTGCCGTTGATCATGCACAGTGATTGGCGGTTAATAGTGCCACACTGTCCATGAATCATATTCTTGATTACAACATCATGAAGGTCTGGGTCGGTTTCAGGATCAAGAATCTCCGCACATATGACGTCATCTACTTGATCTGGCCGAATTCTTTCGACTAACCAAATTAGAATGTGTGCATGCGGCAAGTCTCGCTTTTGCAAACAAATTTAAAGAGTACCTGAACTTTCGAGACAGAGACAATAGTTTAGATAATAGACTACTACTTTGGATAGTGCACTTTTTAACCTTGGTAATAAATCTTTAAAAAATCATAGACAAAATAAAAAGACATTTACGTTTTCGTTAACCTATAAAATAAATTTTAGAAATTGTTTTCGGAAATACAATAGTTTAGATCATAGATTACTACTTTGGATAGTGCACTTTTTAACCCTAGTAATTATTAATCTTAGAAAAATCACAGACAACATAAAAAGACATTTAATTTTTCGTTTACGTATAAAATAAATCTTAGAAATTGTTTTCGAGAATATAAACTTTAATTTACACAAAATAAGTTTATGAACGCACGCGTAAACGTTAATCATTTGTCATTATTTCTGAACGCATGTCAACCATTACTTATAGTATTTGACATGATGGACAACAAATGTTTGGAAGGTACGAAACAAAGTAACATTTAGGGAAAATGATTCATCTTTTATAATTATGTTTCCGTCTAGTTTTCATTATTTTTAAGATGTATTCTGTTATTTGGGGCGGGGACAAATCCAGCGAACCAAAAACCATGAAAATTGGTCTAGCCGATCTCGAGTTATAAGTGTTGTGACAAACCCGACTTTGTTTTATACATATATATAGATATATATAATATAATTCCAAAGTGAGACCTCAACAAGTTTCCGTGGGCACTTCACCTTTGTAAATACGAATTTTAAATGAAATATTTTATGAGAACTTAAACACTTTGAGCTGGGCAACAATCATTGTTATTTAGGGTACAACTTTTTCTCTATAAAACGTTTTTTTTAATTATGTTGTCAGCTTCTTTTACTTTACCACATGCAACACAAAAGTTAATGAAGCAATCAAATCAAAGCTATATGTGTATAAAAAATTGTGCTGGGGGTGTGTGGAAATTGGATAAAAATTTCACTAGTAGCACGGATGGTGGTTTCAAATGACGCCTACTATTAAAAAACTGTAGTAATGCTAAAATTGATTGTACCCATGTTATGACCCATTTCGTAAAATTATATATCATAATTTACCTTTTCGCAATTGAATCCAATAGTAGGTACTGTATTTAAATATTGATCGAATTTCAATCTATACAGTGCTGTTGTTTTCCCAGCTGAATCAAGACCAAGCATAACAATGTGTAATGTACCCTGAAATGTCATAGTTTAGTACGAAACGGATTTCAACTTAAAAGCTTACCTTACCTGTGAAGGTAGAGCATCCAAAAAGTTGACCCCGTTTTTCCCCATAGCTGCCCCCATTTCAAAGAAATATACAAGGTGTGTAAGTGTGTCTTCTGAGAATATTATTGTTTTATTCACTTTGAGCCGGAAACAAATTTATTATATTCCAAGGTTCCATTTTATATCTATAAAAAACATATAAACGTTATAATTTTCATGCCATAATCTATTGATTTCTAGGATATAAAAACAGTAATATATGAGTCGAAAATTACTCTGAAGGAAAGTATCTACTCAAACCTTAATTTATGTGATACAAAAACTTATTACATAAATGTTCTAGTATAAGAAATGTATTATTTTATTTTAAAAGATCTAATTTTATAGGCTAAAAATTTTATAATAGAAAGTTCGCATATATGTATTTTAGACATTAGTAGCTTCACAGGGTAGTGGAGTTAATTTGTTTAGAACGAACACTAGTTATGGAACACCATAAAGATACAATGACAAGTGCACAACTACCTCTCTGGTTTATATAAATATATACTCTACCTGATAATCTGACCAATATACACACAATACTTCGAGGAATAACAAGTAATGGAACACCCTTTCAAGTGTATTTTCTTTTTGACTTAGTCTCTATAAAAAATCCTTTGTTTGGTGACCCCTTCGAGACTTTTTTACATTACCGTCAGCATGCTTTCTAGGCTTCAACATCAACGAAAACAATAACAACAAGTAAGCAACCGAAAACTTTATACTCAAGAAAATTCCAAAAACGAAAGTGGTGAAATATTTTCAGGCGTTGGCAAAAATGTATATTAAACAAGTAAGGAAGGGCTAAGTTCGGATGTAACCGAACATTTTATACTCTCGCAAAGTCAAATGGTATACTCGTTTGAGATTTCTTTGTGGATTGACTGATATTTTCGGTAGAAGGTCAACTATAGGCACTGGGGTCCACATATTTAGTACTTAGGGGTTTGAACAGTTTTGGTTCGATTTACAATTTTGGCCCAAGGTGGCATACTTAATTGCATTATTCACGCAAAGTTTTACCCGATATAATCTATGTTACCTGATTTATGGTGGAAAGTGAAAGAATCAGATGGTGAAAATGGTGTTACATGGGTAAGCGTGGTTGTATCCGATTTCGCCCATTTTCGCACTATGACATAGAACATGAAAGAACGTTATGCACCGAATTTGGTTGAATAGTTGAGCAGATCTGAATATGGGTTTCACTAAAAGTGGCTGTGCCGCCCGCACTGACTATACTTTGCGGTTCCTATAAAGCCATTATCCATCTCAGAGATAAAATTTAATGTCTCTGGCGTGTTTGAGTGCTTGATTTATCGCGCCTTTGGTAGTTTTTACCAGTACGTTATGTGGGGGCGGAGGTTGCCACGATTTCAACTATTTCCGTCAATAGAAGTGCTAAAAACATTTTGCTCTAGTAATTTTGTTATTATAGCATTAGCGGTTTAGGAATATGCACTTAACCTATTATGAGGCGGGACCACCACTTTTAAAAATTTTGTCTGCAGATGCCCTTCCTATTGTGATCCTGATACAAATAAGATCTTGTATCTTGTTGTGAGCTAGTTATAGCAAGTTATTTGTTTTGATTAATGGCGTTTTGTGGGCGTGGCAGTGGTCCGATTACGCCCATCTACATACCAACCGTCTCACGGTACCATGAAACATGTCTCAGCAAAAGATATCTCAATTTTACTCAAGTTAGAGCTTGCACGGACACGGACAGACGGACGAACGAACAGTCACCCAGTTCAACTCGTCTCTTCATCCAGTCATTTATATATATATAACCTATATCTCTCGATTAGTTTTAGGTGATACAAACAACCGTTAGGTGAACAAAACTATTATACTCTGTAAGAACAGGTTGCGAAGTATACAAAAGCCCGACAGACGTTGTCCTGTATCACGTCTTAAATGTAAACTTTTGAAATTAGCTGCAACATATACCGTTTTAAGAAAATATTTTTTATTAGAAACTTATTACAATATCTAATGTCATTCATATATATTTAATCCGACCAATCGATAGCGTGTGCTATGTATATTATAATGCTTTCGAGATGTTAGAGACGCGCTTGAATGAAAACTGAAGTCGTTTGTGATTGTGAAAGTTGAATCTATTCTATGGATATTTATTCTTAGATTAATTATCTACATAAGAAGTTATCGTAATGCAATAGATGTACAATACCTTTGGTTATTCCTTGAAGGATATAAACAAATAAATTGGATGTTTCTACTCTCGAGCATAACGTATAAATGCCGTGAGATAGCACGGATTTTCTAAATCTAATTCACAAATCATTGTTTACCTTGGCCTTTTAATGTCATCGCAAATCTAAGCAGATGGGTGATTGTAAATTTTAAATGGCACAGCGAATCTGAAGAATCGTTGCAATCCGTGGCAGTACAACTTCACCTTGAAATTTTCCACTAAAAATTTTTCTACAAAAATTCCATGTTCTTCCCGAGACAAGAATATAAATAATGATTATTTATTTATTGCATATTTCTTCTTATTGTATATTCACTATTTCTGTATAAAGTAGCAAGTATGAGTGTTTAAAACACTATACACCATACTTATGTCTATAGTCTTAATAGTTGCGCTATACTTATGTATCTTAGAATCTGATCAACGCCTCTACCAGGCTCAATTATACTTTTGAATATTCTGTCGCGACTGCAATAGTTACTGGATCCAATGTAAAAAGTTCCAAAATTAACAACTTTATAAATGAAAAAGTGGAAATAAACATTTTCAAGTGGACAAATTGTGAACTTAACCATCCTCGGTCCCATTGAACTCACACAAAATATTCACAAATCGGTCCAACCGTCTACGAGCGTTCAGTGACATTACACACGCACACAGAAATATATAATATATATAAAATAATGATACCAAAATAAATTCAATATTTGAGGAAACCGTTAACAATTACATCAATTAAGTCGGAAACTCAATTAATTTCATTATTACTTTATTTTATTTCATTGAATGTTTATACTGATTAAACTGAATAACTCAAGGGATATATGTATGTAGTGCACACTGAACTTAAGAGGCTAATTTAATATATTGGTTTATGGAGAAAAGGTCAAGTAGATATTAAATTCTTTATATTGGTGAAACCACCTGGAAGAATTGCTTGTCTTGGAAATAATCACTGCCTAATTGAAGATGTTCTTTAATAAAAAGTTTGTATACAAGAACGATTATTATCGTTCACTGTGTGGTTCCGACAATGAGCGACTGTAGAGAAAGAACGCGTGCGCAGAATATCTAAAAGCGAGGAACAAGTTCGCATAAATAAGACCGACGGACGGACAAACAAACGTACTGCCATTCGGCGTCAGCTCGTCGCTGATCGTATACATATATTTATAAATTATCAACGATTTCTTTTGGTTTAATATACCCTGTTCAGGATATAAAAATGTACACCAAGCAACCAAATATCACACATTTCGGTCACCATAAGCGGTATATACAAGGTGCGTTCCAAGTAAATAGGGCTTTAAAAAGGCCGAACAAATGGTTTATCCGGCAAAATCAATTAATTTATTCCATGGTGTATACCAACATGCAAGCACGGTCAAAAGCGTGTCGAACAGTGTTTTAGCTCGCTTGCGCGGTATGGCCGCCGGTATGCCGGTGCAACCTTTTGAATAGCCTCCACGTCTGCATAACGCTTTCTTTTCCTTCGGCAATGCATTTTTCGAAAAGGTAAGTCGCACATTGCCTTATCAGGTGAATACGGGAGTGGTTGATTGTTAAATGGATTTTGGTCAAAATAACACTGGTCTGCAATGAAATCCTCCTTTAAAAATTTGGTCATAAATATGACGATTCAAATTCCTGAATCGATCCCCGTTGCCGATTTTCTCACGTCTAGATTTTTATATGAATTTTTATATTTCAAAAATTTTTTTCCACTTTGTGTGTCTACGTTACAAGCCGTGATATGTGGCGACACCCACATTAAACATATCTTTAAATTTATTTAATTCATGCATTCACAGGTTAATATTAAGTTCATTTATATTAGTACAACTAAGGGTTAAGTTATCCTATATTCTACTTTACATTGTTATCCTAAGAGTTACACTACTGCTATCTCTCTTACATACAATAATTAAGCTGTCATAATAATGTATTACATATTGAGAGCATCATCACCTGATGCTGATCACCGTTACCTATACCTCTATATCAATTATTTTGGTAAGTTTTGCATGAAGTTTATGTTCCCTAGGCAAGAAGACTTTACAAGTTACTTCTCCAAAGAAGATGATGTGATATATTGTAATGATGCTGTAGGACTTCTTGAAGAACTGAGTTTTCCAGGAGATTCAAGTGAATGGAGACTTTTTATTGATGCTTCGAAAATAAGCTTAAAAGCCGTTCTACTCCATAATGGTAACAAATACCCATCTGTACCCGTTGCACATGCTACAAACATGAAGGAAAATTATGCAAACCTAGAAGTATTACTTGAAAAAATTCAATATTCTCAATACCTATGGAATATTTGTGCTGATTTAAAAGTCGTCGCCATACTTACTGGATTACAAGGAGGATACACAAAGTTTTGCTGTTTTCTTTGTGAATGGGACAGTCGCGCAAGATTACATTACAAACAAAAATCTTGGCCTCTGAGAAAAAGTTTAACTCCTGGGCTTAAAAATGTATCTCAGAAACCTTTAGTCCCAAGTGAGAAAATTTTTCTGCCACCACTTCACATAAAGTTGGGACTTATGAAAAACTTTGTGAAAGCGATGAATAAAGATGGTGCAGGTTTTCAATATTTAAAAACCAAATTTCCTCGAATCAGTGACGCAAAATTGAAGGAAGGGATTTTTGTAGGTCCGCAGATACGTGAGCTAATGAAAGATGAAGCTTTTGAATCGAAGTTGAGCAAAACAGAAAAAAGAGCTTGGGTGGCGTTTGTGAAAGTGTGTCATAATTTTCTTGGGAATACCAAAGTTGACAACTACCGACAAATCATTCGGGAGCTTCTTTCTGCTTATAAATCTTTAGGATGCAATATGTCACTCAAGATTCATTTTTTGGACTCACATTTGGATTTCTTTCCTGAAAATCTTGGAGCCGTATCAGATGAGCATGGTGAAAGGTTTCATCAAGATATAATGCAGATTGAAAAACGCTACAATGGGAAATGGTCAGCAGCAATGCTTGCTGATTTCTGTTGGTCACTTCCCCGAGAAACTCCAATGGAAACAATGAAAAGGAAAAAAACTACAAAATAACATCATCTTATCATCATAAAATCATACTTTAAGATTTTTCACTGTAAAACTTGGACCGTAATATTTTTTAATTTTCTTATAATAATAATTGATACCTTAATAATTCTGTTTTTTAATTAAATAAATAATTTATGGAAAATCTACGTGTGGTACTTATTTGTATGTCGAATTCCGTGTTTAGAGCACAAAATATAAAGAATTCATGCATGAAAACCAGAAGGAGAAAACAAATTTTTTTTTTGCAGACCAGTGTTATCTAAAGTTCTGTGACGTGAAAATCGTTCGAAAATCATTTGTATCATTTATATCTAAAATTATTAAAAAAAAATTGATGTACAAGACTATTTTTAATTATTAATAAAATTGTTCAAGTGAAATATAAATATTTATATTTTTGATCAAAATTTAACTTTTTTTAATTAAAATTCTAATACAATACAGGCAAAATAATTTAAGAATATATCGGCATTCAAACTTTCAATAAATTTATTAAATTACAACAAAAAATTTAAAAAAATTAATATATTTTATTTTAAAAAACTTACTAAAGAATGTTCAGACATTTTTTTATTGGTTCCAGTGCGATATCGGGATCCGGGTAGTCATAGTTGATCGTTAGTTATCACATATTGAATTTTTCTTCGTAAAATTAACGCTCAATTCCAATAAAATACAACCCTTAAAATTTTAGCTAAATAACAGCCCAATAACCTGATCTTATTAACCTAACCTAATTTATTCACTTCCAAATAATTAAACTAGAAAGGAGAAAATCATAAAGCAATTATAGCAAAATGTGAATAACATAAAATAAAAGTTCAATATTAATGATTATCATAACATCTGGTCGAGGAAAAACGTGGGATTGATAAATATTGTAAACGCTTTTCTTCAATATTATTCGTTCTATTGTTACCAAATCGTAACTTGCCGATCACTTGAGAATTTTTTCAAGCATTCCCTTTGTTATGGTTGGCAAAAAATGCCATTATATCCGACTATTTTTGACCTCATATAGCAATGAGGTCCTATGCAGATACAGACCGAAGTTCAGACATAAAATTATATAGATTGAAGTTTGTTAAAACCATATTTTAGGCATGTTAAGGAATCATTTCTCCTATTCGTGCAATTTTTTAGTTTTGCAGCTTGTAATTCTGGTTACCCAGTTTCTTTAGTAGGGTTTAATGTCATTATTCATTTGTCAACTAAGGATAATGTACTTTTTTGGAAGGCAAATATCCTTCGAATTCTTTATTGAATCGATGTAATATGTTGACTATATACCGGTTTTGAAAAAAAGCAATATATGACGTGGCCTTCTAAGGAGATATGACAATATCTCGGAAGACATAAAAACACAAATTAAATGTACGAGACTCACAAGAGATTCGTAAGTAGGGGACGATCAAACTTTTGCTTTCACAGAAATCCAACTTGAACGACATGACTGCTGTTATGCGGTACATATTCACCTGCAAAAACCAATTGTTGCATTAGACAAACAAATCCGATCGCTTCATGGCGCTTATCCTTGCTGCAATGTTAGACGACTTCAGCCTTAAATGCATGAAAAATGCGTTAGATCTGTGTGGCCATTTGTTCGTGTAAGCCAAAGCCGCACATGTATGTGTGTGGAGATTGTGGCCACTTTAGCAAACGCACGCATTGCTTTTTAATATGAGGCAATTTAGAAGAATCAATGCGAACTAACTGGTCGTTAAAGTGGGAATGGTTGTCGCAATGACCAACGAGATAAACGGCCACCATTTGTGGCATGCAATTTTTTTCTTCATTGTATTTACCGCATGTGGCATATTTCTGCATTTTTTATCGCTCACATTACAATGCAATTTAAGAAATAATATTTATTGCAACTGCTAGAGAGCCTGCATCTAGGTTTTTTGTTGTGCGCTGTGCAGAAGACCATCAGCGAATAGGCGAGAGGCAAGAGCGCGCTAACGACTAACAAGTTCTTTGTGGCACATACCATACATATCGAAGTATGTTTGGTGAAACAATAGAGGCTGTTGGCAATTGTTTGTACAGTTAGTACGAAATAACAATACCTAAATTAGGTCTTAAAGAGGTTTCTGTAATCGCGAAATTTCGGGACTATGTTGTCGAGATATCAGAAATTGTTTCCAATTTTGTTATTATAAAAATAAGAAAAAATCCCCAATTTGACGCAGTCCCGAAATATTAATTTTCGGGATCCCGAAATTGGTAAGCAATTGGAAACTATCTCTCTATTATATATAAACGTTTTCTGCTGCTGTCGCGAATCAACTAACATAAGAGCGAGCTAGCTCGCGCTCGGCGAGCGAGCGAAGCGAGCGTCCCGGAGCGCAGCGGAGGGCGCCTAGTTTTATATATACTAATTGTGTTTACCTAAACTGTATATTTAATGCTGTTGGTCAAATCCTAAAATTTCGGGATTTTTATTCCCAGATACGCCTTAAATTCAGCCAAACGCATTCGCAAACAGATTACTTTTTATTTATTTCTTTAGCTAAAACCAAATACACAAATTCCCCGTCATGTGTGTTAGAGCATTTGTTTTCGTACGTGCCACATAGTGTAGCCGCTGTGCTTTCACTAAGTTTGTGCATTTCTATTGCCTTTTTTATATTACATATATATGTGTATATATGGTATACACATATTTTCTACTTTTTAAGCCTCGCCAATTTCTGTTGCAATTTCGATGTTATGTGGCAGACACATACTCATGCCTCTACATGCTTGTTATTGCCACTGTACGCCTGGGAAACACGTTCCACTGCGGCGTCAAACTGCGGAAAGACGACAAACACACGTGCAACATTAGTTGTTTGGCGGCCGCCATGATGCATGGTATAGGAGCGAAAAAGATATAAAAGATAGGAGTCTTTCTCAGCTGATTTGCAGGCTATTTTCTGTTATTTGCGGTTATTTTTGGGGCATTTGCAACTACATAGTGCCGTTTCAGACAGGGATTCAAAAGAGTCTGAGGTTTTTCAAATTTTCTTTTGGTGTCGCTCTGGGCATTCACACGGTCAAAAAGAGTCCAGCAACTCGAGTCTAGTTTTTCTGCATTCCTTTTCACAAAATTTTCGTAAATATTTGTGCGGTTCGACTGCGCAACACCGCGCAACACTGCGTGCTGCGTATTTCATTTGTATGTTGGGATGATGGTCACACATTTTGCTTGCAATGAATTACCATGAATATGGTAGAACAATATGCATAATACAAGTACCTACCCGCTAAATAGTTTCAAAGAAATACTAAAGACGGGAATTCCCTAATCCACAAGAATGTATTGAATATCCGCAACTAATATTTTCAAGGCCAAATTTATAATAGGAATTTCCTAATCTTTAAGTATTAAAAACTCATAATTTCTTTACTCCGTATTAAAAATTCATAATTTCTTTACTCCATAATCTATATCTTAATTTTCTCCTTATTTACAATTTGTCATAATATTTCTATTATTCTATGCATACGTATTTGCATATTACATACAAAAATAGATAACAGAACTCAAATTTGCGATCGAATTCATTTGAAACCGAGCGCTCTTGCAACCATTCAAAGGATTTGAAAGTGAAAAGGAATGCTGAAAAGGGTAGCAGCGAGCTGTTACGAAAAAGAACACAAAGCGTGCCACCCGAACACGAGTGGCACGGTCCCTTCGTCTTTCCTCGTCGTCCCCTCGCCCACAATAAACTGGTATGAGACTCTTTTGAGTCCCTGTCTGAAACGGCACATAGTAGCAGTGTGCTTGTGATGGTACTGTGCCTGGTTGTTGCCACCAATTGCTGCAAACACAGATGTTAAGCTGCTCTAGTAACAGCACAGCGACTTAAGTTGTAAGTAACTGGCGATTGCGTTTGTTGCAGCAAATGTGAAGAAAAATATCTCGTTTGGGGGATTGTAAGACTCTTATTGTTGTTGTGAAAGCGCAATGTTTGGAGTCGGATGAGGTGTTTGAATAGTGTATGTATTGTTTTCAAAAATGTCAAATTTTATATAGTTGAGTTTAATATGATCCCATGTCCCACATCTTGTAATGACTTCCCCACTTCTATTTATATCTTCCTATTACCGTTCCTAATACTAACTATGTTTGTTTTTCTTTTCGTTTGTTCCATTTCTTTTCCTTCTTTTTTTCTCCAATTTCTACTTTCTTCATGTTACAAATTTTGCTGATTGAGTTGCACGGCACATGCAACTCGCAAGTGTGCGTTTCACATTGGGACGCAAAAGAGTCTCATACCAGTTTATTGTGGGTGAGGGGATGACGAGGAAAGACGAAGGGACCGTGCCACTCGTGTTCGGGTGGCACGCTTTGTGTTCTTGTTCGTAACAGCTCGCTGCTACCCTTTTCAGCATTCCTTTTCACTTTCAAATTCTTTGAATGGTTGCAAGAGCGCTCGGTTTCAAATGAATTCGATCGCAAATTTGAGTTCTGTTATCTATTTTTGTATGTAATATGCAAATACGTATGCATAGAATAATAGAAATATTATGACAAATTGTAAATAAGGAGAAAATTAAGATATAGATTATGGAGTAAAGAAATTATGAATTTTTAATACGGAGTAAAGAAATTATGAGTTTTTAATACTTAAAGATTAGGAAATTGCTATTATAATTTGGCCTTGAAAATATTAGTTGCGGATATTCAATACATTCTTGTGGATTAGGGAATTCCCGTCTTTAGTATTTTTTTGAAACTATTTAGCGGGTAGGTACTTGTACTATGCATATTGTTATACCATATTCATGGTAATTCATTGCAAGCAAAATGTGTGACCATCATCTCAACATACAAATGAAATACGCAGCATGCAGTGTTGCGCGTGTTTGCGCAGTCGAACCGCACAAATATTACGAACATTTTGTGAAAAGGAATGCAAAAAAACTAGACTCGAGTTGCTGGACTCTTTTTGACCGTGTGAATGGACAGAGCGACACCAAAAGAAAATTTGAAAAACATCAGACTCTTTTACATCCCTGTCTGAAACGGCACTTACATGCTGCTGTAATACATTGCGATACGTATGCAAGCTCCCAAACTCCGACTTTCGAAATATG